CTCTGCTGCTGCTGCTGCTGCTGCTGCTCTGCTGCTGCTGCTGCTGCTGCTGCTGCTGCTGCTGGTGCTGCTGCTGCTGCTGCTGCTGCTGCACCTTCGGGGCAGGGGAGGCAGCTGGTGGCGCCTTGCTGCGGCTGGTAAGTGCCAGCAGCACATGGCAAAGGGTCTCCTGTCCCTTCGGGACAAAAGTGTCCCTTCGGACACACAAGTGTCTCCTCCGCCGGAGACGAACTCCCCGCGGGACAGTAAAACCCTGCGCGCACACGCTGCTGCTGCTGCTGCTGCTGCTGCTGCTGCTGCTGATAATGCTGTGGTGCTGGTGGTGGTGGTGGTGCTGCTGCTGCGATAATGCTGTGGTAGTGGTGGTGGTGCTGCTGCTGGTGGTGGTGGTGGTGCTGCTGCTGCTGATAATGTTGCTGCTGCTGCTGCTGCTGATAATGCTGTGGTAATGGTGTTGCTGCTGCTGCTGGTGGTGGTGGTGCTGCTGCTGCTGATAATGCTGCTGCTGCTGCTGCTGATGATGATGATGCTGCTGGTAATGGTGTTGCTGCTGTTGATGTTGGTGCTTGTGCTGTGGTTGTTTATGTTGCTGTTGTTAGTGCTACTGTTGCTGTTGCTGCTGCTGCTGCTGCTGCTGCTGCTGCTGCTGCTGTACAGCGGTGCTCTTAATTCTAATGTCTTGCGTCTCTTGGGCCCTGGGGTCCCCAAAGTGTCTCCTTGAAGTTAAAAACTATTTCTAATTTTGAATGCAATTTATTTTAAAAGACTTTTAATTTTAAAAGACTTCGTTTAGAAACTGTTTTATTTTTAAAGTATTTTATTTCAAGATTTTAAATATTTAAATTTACAAAAGACCTCTGAAACTATCTCTTAATGCTGAAGTGTCTCTTTTGTCTCCTGAGCTCGTTTTAAGTGTCTCCAAGTGTCTCCAAGTGTCTCTAAACAAAATAAAATGAAACAAAATGGTTCAAAATGGTTCAAAATGGTTTAAAATGGTTTAAAATGGTTTAAAATGAACAAGAAAGAATTAAAATAAATAAAAATATATTTTTATCTTACCTGATGTGCATTTTCCCGAAGGCTCTGTTATGCCGGGAAGGGCGCAGAAATAACCGGGGGGACATTTTTGGCACTGGTCTTCTTCCCAAGCTCCTCTAAAAGCAAAAAATAAATAAATAAATAAATAATAAATAGAATTAAATCAAAAAGGAGACACTTTTTGATGAAAATAGAATTAAAAAGGAGACAGTTGGTGAAAAAAGGAGATTAAAAGGAGACAATTGGAGGAAATGGCAAACAACTGAACATTTTTGGCACTGGTCTTCTTCCCAAGCTCCTCTAAAAGCAAAAAATAAATAAATAAATAAATAAATAAATAAATACACAAATAAATAAATAAATAAATAAATAGAATTAAACAAAAAACGAGACACTTTTGAGTGAAAGTAGAATTAAAAAGGAGGCAGTTGGTGAAAAAAGGGGACTAAAAGGGGACAATTTGAAGAAAATAGATAAAAAGCATTTTTTGGAATTTATCTGAAAATAAGTTAAAAAAATAAAAAAATAAAATAATATAAATAAATAAAAATGGAATTAAAAAGAAATATTTAAAAAAGGAGACACTTTTGATTTCAATTAAAAAAGGAGACACTTTTAAATGAAAATAAAATTAAAAAGAGAAAATTAAAAAGAGACACTTTTAAATGAAAATGGAATTAAAAACGGAGACAATTAAAAATAAAAAGAGACAATTAAAAATAAAAAGAGACAATTAAAAATAAAAAGAGACAATTAAAAATAAAAAAGGGGAGTATTAAAAATAAATAAAGGGAGATAATTAAAAATAAAAAGGAGACAATTAAAAATAAATAAAAGGAGACAAACAAAAAGGATACAAATAAAAATAAAAGAAGAATTAAAAACAAAAAGAATTAAAAATAAAGAGGAGACAATTAAAAACAAAAAGGAGGCAAATAAAAACAAATAAAAAGATAAATGAAAATAAAAAAAGATAACTAAAAACAAAAAGGAGACAAATAAGAATGAATAAAAGGAGACAATTAAAAACAAAAAGGAGGCAAATAAAAACAAATAAAAAGATAAATAAAAATAAAAAAAGATAACTAAAAACAAAAAGGAGACAAATAAGAATGAATAAAAGGAGACAATTAAAAACAAAAAGGAGGCAAATAAAAACAAATAAAAAGATAAATAAAAATAAAAAAAGATAACTAAAAACAAAAAGGAGACAAATAAGAATGAA